TGGTCGAAATTCAAATTCAGCGGCTGAAACGGCAAAAGAAGTGGAGAATGGGATACGAAGTCGGTTCACGCCGCCACCAAGAAGGAAGTCAAGTTTCGCAGATGACTGTAGGTGTTTTTGTGCATTTACCTCATGATTTTTGCGGCAAATTTCCTGAGGTTGTAAATTTCTTTCGAATAGTTTGACTTAGAAATACAGGGCAAAGATGACTCTGCTCAACTCATTTTGTTGCCGTAAAATTTCAGAGGAAATTATATTATAAAAAAAAAAAAAAAAATCAAGTAAAACTTGAGGTCTTTGGCTATGCTGTTTATTTCGTCCAGTTCTGTGCTTTTTCCGCAGTCGGTGTAGCTGGCTTTGTTTTCCGTTTTTCCAATGGAAATCTTGCATCCATGTAGGCAAGCCCCGTTGTGGACCCATTTTACTTGCATGGTATTTATGTGATACAAAGTGGCCTTCTCAGTGTTCGTTTCGCATTACATGAGTACCGTTCAGCAGTGTTTTGGTCTGCTTGTTATGTGCAATCTTTTTATAGCCAACTTAGCTTGCCCAGAATATTCACTGTTTGTATCTTTAAAATTTCTACAGCACTTAACTGTCCTTTCCTCCTAGCTCCCATTACTCCATAATGTCCTGTAAAGCGTTGTTTACAAGGAATTGAGCAAAATCACTTTTTTCAGGTTTTTGTGCTTTGAAATTTGAATCGGATGATGAAGATCTGTGTGGGCCAAATTTACAGGAAAACTTTAAGGGTGAGTCTGCATTCATTACTTTTATTTGTTATTTTACCGCTTTTTATATCTCAAGCTATGTTACTAATCTGTACGCAACGGTTTTATAACCTGCTGCAAGACTTTTATTATTCAAAACTTTCGTTGACTAACTTTTATGCATGAAATAATTATTCGACAGAAAGTTTCTCTGCCCAAATAGTTACGTCTACTTCGGACCATCTGAAAAGGAAAGCTGATTAATCCTAATCCATACGAGCACAAGCTGCTCCATATTGCTTCAGAAAATTAAAAATACTTTGACACGACTTGTTTCATTTCAGATACAGTGGTTTCCACAAATGTAGAATCGTCGCAGGCACATAGCTTTAAAAGGTATGCTTCTGGTTCGCTAGTTTTTATGCGT